GAGAAGACCCACCAAAAGAACAAGCAGCTTTTAGGCCCCCCTAGCCTCCTCTTGGATCACACAACCCAGTGAATTATGATACCTAGTTTTATTTCTAAATTCTGACCAGAGAATCAATTTTGAAAAGAGATAGCAAGGAAAACTTTCATTCATTAGGGAAGAGTACTATAGCTTTAGGGCAAGCATCACATGTCATTTCTGTTCCTGTGGAATTCTGTGCATACTACTGTATAGCTTGTTTAGTATAGGATAGAACTGGGTTTGTTGGTGTAAACACATAAAGTATTCTATTTTTATATTAAAAAAAAGTTTATTTTTAATGACATTTACAAAGTTTGGTTAGGCCACAAAATACTGCACTGTGAACATTTCAGAAAATGTATGTCAACGCACATGACTCATAAATTGTAGCAACCTTAAAAAAATACTGTGTAAATATTAAAAAGGAAAAGAACTGACTGTAAACACACTCCACCCCAAGTATAATATCTCCGTTGCTGCAAGCCAACCATTTTAACATCTTGAAAGAGAGGTAGTACAGATAAAGAACTGATATAAGGGAGATATATTGTTCTTGGGAGACAGTGTTATAACTGAAAGATTTATAATGAGGGCAGAGTGTGTAGGCAAACTATGAGCAGATAATATTGTATTGTGTTTCATCACCACTTTCATTTCAGAAATGAACTTTCATGTCTGCTGAGAGCAATACTAATTGTAGATTGCTCAAGGACAAAAGGCTTTGCTGCAGGCAAAAAAAAAAAAAAAATCTCATCTCTATGGTTGTTAAACTAAGGAAGTTTATGACACATAGATTTGGAGAAGATACTCCAAAACCTGTACATACATGCTTGAGGAACGCTGCAATGTGAAACAGAGGACATTTTTACTATTTATGAACTTTTGCTTAATAAAGTTAATGTTGTGTCTGGGACACCTGTAAGAATACGTGATTCTGGTAAAGATTTGATGTTAGTAAGTTCATATATCTGCAAAGAGCTGAATGGTACTTATGTTTATAGTTGTTGTTATGACCAAATAAACATGTTATTAAAATGAATTATTGTAATACTTTACAGTCCGAGTGCTGTAATTACTGTTAGCATTTGACTGTTAAGCTGATAAAAGTCTGCATGCTTTTTCTGACTAACATAGGAAGAGCAACCTGTGGAACTATGCGACAGAGAGGAAACAACCCAGAAACATAAAATTATGGAGAGTGCGCGAATAAATCAAACACGCAGTTCATCAGCCTCCTACTCATTAACATATCAGAGAAAGGCACAGAATGTTTGTCATGAACAACTGTGGCATAGTCTGAATAGGAGGTCTCTTGCCTAACCACTGGCTGAAACCACGCAAAGCCTTAAAATCCTTCATGCACATAGAGTTGGGGTGGCATCTGAAGCTCCGAATTTAGGCATCGTAAAGGGTACCTGCTTGGCCCAACAAGGATGCCAGCACTTGTGTTTAGCATCCAAGCTCCCTAATGCATCATGAGCCACAAGAAACTTCGAGCACCTGAACCTATGTCCCTCATGGTCATCCATCACACATTTCACTTCTGTGAGGTGCTCTGTATCTGTGACACCTGAAGAGAGAAGGCATTGCAGTTCCCGGGGTCTTGGTTCTTCTAGGGAACAGCCCTGCTCTTCTCCCACGTATTTTCTCCCAGTTACATTAGATGCCTCCCACCGAATTCACAAGTTCACTTCTGTGAAGTGTATTTTAAGTGGGTACCCCACAAATACTGCCACATGCACTGTCTTGTGCCACTCTTAAACCAGACTACAAGCTCGTTTCTCCAGGGGCTTACCTCAGCAGAACATTTTATACTTAAGCCACTCAGGAAAATTTAATGCACAAAGTCTCAGCTGATTAAAAACAGCATTTATATGCTCTTGTAAATTCAAAATAGCAAGCAAACCAATATCAAAACACATTTTCTCCAGACACATTTACTTCTTTCCAGAAAATGTATATGCTCAGTTTCAACTCAGTGTATTTTGGGGAAAAAAGACATTGAAAATAGCAGCCAAGGATGAAAACATTCTTCTGTTGTGTCACAAGCCCAATCCAGCTAAAAGGTCTGACATTTTTTATTCTAACTATTTACATCAAATTTATTTTCCAATACATTTTCAGGATTTCCCTGAATAGCCAGTAAAAAATCTCTAAGGTTTTACTACAGTCCACTATTAATACCTCCAATCTAACTCAGCATCACACACAGCCGAATGATGGTCGGAACTTAAATACCAGATTTGTAACACATTCCTCTGATTGCTTCTCATGATGCCTAAGGGATGCTATATATTGCATTTTTGAAAGGGTCAACAGAATCACAAGCTTCCCATGCTCAGTTTTTCATCCTAGTAACTTTGTTTACACCAGGTACACACTGCAGCAGATCTTCAGCTGACTTACACAGACAGCCTTCCCCCCGCAGGAATATTAACGGTGGATGTGGCCCATGGTCAAAACATTGCATAACAGACACCC